GAAAGAGGTGAGTGGAGCCACTGTGTTTCATTCAGTATGTGAGTGATATCTCAGCAAATAGAAAAGATATGAGGTTCTTATTTTATATTCTAGCTTGTCAATATCAGTATTGATGCATCATCTTTTTTTATATTTAACAATGAGTATAGTAGGACTAGGGGACACAAATATAAATTTTGACAGGATAGGACTCATCTTCAACTAAAACAGTTTCATTTTTCTAACAATGTGGTTGGCCTTTGGAATGGGTTGCCTTCTGATGTTGTAGATGCAGTAAATTTAAGTGAGTTTAAGAAAAAGCTTGATAAGTATATGAATGATAAGGGCTAGCTTTAAGATGTTTTTTTTTAATTATTTTAATATAGTTTAGAGAATGGAACAGCTGAGATGGACCAATAGGTCCCATGTTGTCCCAAAACATTATGTTATTATCTTAAATTACTTATTATTATTTATTCTGTTGTGTAAGATCTGCCTAATTAAAGTTACTTTTATTATTAATGTTGTTGTGTAAGATTTATCTAAATAAAGAATAGATTACAAAGTTGCCAAATATTATATATATATTTTTATTTGAGAAGATGTTTTGAGCTCCTAAAGCTTTCTACATGATCTACCTAATCCCAACCTGTCCATTTTACTTTTTTATTATAATGAATATTATTTTATAAACTCTGTTTAATCTCAATCTGTTTAGATATTTGTTATCATTATTAATAATATTATTGTGCACTACCTAAAACCAACCTGTCCATATTACTTTTTTATTATTATGAATATTATTTTGTAAACTGTTTAATCTCAATCTGTTTGAATATTTGTTATCATTATTAATAATATTGTTGTGCACTACCTAATCCCAACCTGTCCATATTACTTTTTATTATTATGAATATTATTTTGTAAACTCTGTTTAATCTCAATATGTTTAAATATTTGTTATCATTATTAATAATATTGTTGTGCACTACCTAATCCCAACTTATCCAAATAAATATTTTTGTTATTACTATTTTTTCATTTTCAATGGAAAACCCAATGCTTATTTGGTTCTCTGTTATTTTTGTTACAGTTGATAAAAGAGATTATGAAATGAAATCAACCAAGTAAGTACAAAATTTTAATTTCATTGGATATTTTATTTAGTTTCTTGAAAAGAGAATATTTTGTAACTGAATCTGTTGTTAAGCTCTAAACTGCTTATAGCACTACTGTCAAAAGCATGTAAAATGAAGCTTTTTTGAAGAGTCTATCTGGATCTGGAAAGAAGAAATACATATAATTCTACATTCTTTTTTTTTTGTAATTTTATTCATTTCCTGTTACTTATTTAAGCACATTATTTGGTTAGCTTTGTTCTTCTTCTTCTTCATGAAGATATTTTAGGCCTTTTTCATTCCAATGATGCTATCCTTATTTCCTTTTTACAGACCTTTGTGTGTTTTTCTTAAAAGTTAAAAATAAATATAAGATTTTTACTGTAAGTCAAACATTTCATTGCTATAATTAGCTTCCTACATTTACGTTTAATATTTGCCCGTTTAATTATGTAAAATTACCATATGGAAGTAATGTCTTAAGTTTACCCTTTTACTTGAATTTATGTATGATCTTCAGGTTTATGTATATACTTGTCAATAAGAAAAACTTGTATTGAGACCTTGGATCATAAAATTGACTAATGCATTTTGAGCAAATAATTTTTAATAATATATTTAGCTTAAAACCACCTAATCATTTCTTTTTGTTGGTTCTGCCTTTAACATAATATTTAAACATTTTTAAGTAGCTATAGAGATGACTTTTTGTTTTTGTTTTATGTGACTAGTACTAAACATGATTTATCTTTTGCCTAAGGGCTGAAATGATGAATTGTTTTCAGTAAAATAAGATGTTAAGATGCCAAGTCAGAATTCTTGAGAAGAATCTTTTCCATTCAAAGAAAAGTCTAGTTAACAAAAAACAAATTTTTTTGTTATTTTAGTTCCCCACCAAATGCAATATCCCCTCCATACTATGCACATGGTACAATTGGTAACAAAGGTGTGGAAGAAACATTAGATGATGTTAGCAAAGTTCCCATGTATTCACATTCTCTTCATGGCATTAATGGGGAACTGATGAATGGTCACTTATCTCCTAATTCTCATCATGCTAATGGTAAGTTTATTGTTTGTATGTTAATTGATGGTGGTAAAGAAAAAAAAATCATTTTATGATTTACCAGCATATTTAATTGATGAACTGAAACCACCATACATGAGACATTATATTTTTATAAAATTCTGAGCTTAAGGATAAAAGAATAACATATGTATATCTGTGCTTTTATGAAATTGTAGATTTAAAACAAGAGTACCAAAATGATTTGTTTGGAGTCAACCCATCAAAAATGTCTCTTGTCTGGCAGACTTGGTGTTAAAAGACTTAATAATGAAATTTTTAAAGGATGCATGTATATAGAACAGTAATATGTTCACACACCAAACTAGCTCCTGCAACTGACTTGGCAAGTATTTGTCTGTAATTCTGAGTAGAAACCATTACAACAAATACAATGATGACTGGAAATGTTGCAGTAATGATTTTGCATACACTGGTGATGTATGAATTGCCATGACAGGGAATTATGAAGCAATATCAAAGCATTTTGTATGCCACTCTACAAATTTCTCATCAAATAATGATCTACATTGTCAGAACTCATGAAAACCATGAAGAAAACATCTTTATAGGGCTGAGGAATCAGATATTGTACTGTGCAAAATATGAGGCTACTACCTTGTTTTCTTTGGGATTTTGGATAGGGTGGGTATAGATTTTACTCCCTCATAGCTTGAAAACTAGTGCAAATTGGCGATGCTGATGGTCAATTCAGATCCCCAATAATACAAAGAACTCAAAACCTTCATTTAGAATTTAATGATTGGTCAAATATACAGTGCTTATGAATATTAGATCCTGATTGGTATAAATAAGGGATAAAACTAATGATTAGTCTATATTCCCTTAATGTGCCATGCCAGTGATGCTACCCTGGTGCTACTCATGCTGTCTGCTACAACTACTATTGCTATCACATCCGGTATGCCAAAATGAGCACTTCTACTTTTTGTAAGAGGAACACAATCCAGCTAATCCCCTAAACTCTATATTTTTATGGGCCAAATACTGTTTAAAGGTGAATTATTTTAACAGAAAAGTGTTTTTTTTTGTGTTTTTTTTAGGTTAACAGATCAAGCCTTTTATCAGAGTATTTTTTTATTTTAACTTGAATACTAAAAACTGTGACATTCCCCTGTAGCCCACTCAAACTCCCAAATTCAGTCTTATCAACTTGCAGACTGGGTATTAAAAAAAAAAAAGAGAGATTTGTAACGAGAGTGAAAATAGCATTGTTTCTCCAACTTAAATGTAGCACATATTTGAGATTAAAAGCTGAAGCCTCTATAAGTAGAGCAAAGAATAATTTAAGAGTTTAGATCTGGTTGTAAAGCTATGATAGTGACAGTCACTCTTTTCCTGTAAATGGAAACAAGTTACCATACCAAATGTTTTTATATATTTTATAAGCAATAATTATCATAAATATGACATAATGATTTTTTTTATCTACTAAGTGAAAATTTTGAGAAATAAAATTGTCTACCTCAAATATATAATTTGTGCAGTGCACAATATCTATAGATAAACAAAATGGTAGCATAGTCTTGGTTTTAAATGTATTTTAAATAGCAAGATGGCATTTACTAATGAAATAGTTAAGAAATGTAGTCAATAGTAATGCATATACTTTTGGAATTTAACATGCTAATTAAAAAGTTAATGTTGCACCTTTCTTCTTGTTTCAAGTGATGATGTACCTACCAGAGCAAGAAGTAGGTGGTAATGATAGCCATTCAGATTTGTGGATGAAAGGAGGGGGAGAATTACCTCCTGAGGGTTCCTACAACCCCTATGATGGTGGCTTACCTAATGGCTACTACTACCCAGAGGACTAGTCAGATACAACAACGTGATCCATGTTTTTTTTATTTCATCAAAAAATTTCATACTTACGTAGATGTTCTCTATTTTTCATATTCATAATATCTTCTGTCAGTGGCTGAATCTTGTGTCTCATTTATAACACCAATGTAAAGTTAAATTGTCAAAGTAATTTTAGTGGTCAAGATATATTTTTTGTTTGTTTTTTAAATACGTTCGATTTCAATAAATATCGATATGAGCTGACAACTGAGGCTTCAACAACATTGATATCAGTACCAGCTTCAACTGATAGTTCTTAGAGCATACTTTGGTTAATAACAAAGTGTTTTTATAGATATTTTAAATGAGAAAAAAAATAATGACATTTTGTATAATCTTTGCAACTACACATAGCTTTTAGCCTCTTTTATTACAAATGCTGTTTAATTAGCTCAAGGACTTAATGTTAAGACAACATATAAGCCTTCTACTGGGCTCCAATATCTATCTCATTGTCAACCATCTACTACAAGTTCTTTGAATATTAATAGCTTAAATATAATTTTAATTCATTATTAATCCAAAACTTGACCATTTACTTTTAATGATCAAAATTGTTTATGTAGCTTGAAAGAAATCACATATAACTTACAATGATTCTTAGAAATGCATTGTGGTAAACAGTAGCATAAGTATTTAAAGATGGCATAGTTTCTTTGATTACTGAAAACTTTTGATATTGATTCCATTTGAGTGACACTTAAAAGTCAATGTTACTTGTAGCAAAACAGTTTTTGTCTTCATATATTTCATAATAAATAGCCATTAAATTTCTATTTTCAGACTCCCCATACTATGATGTCAGTGGGCTCCCAGATCCTTATGCTCTTGGTGATGAAGATAAAACACAGCAAGTCTCCCTTAGCTTTGATGAGAGTTTAGAAAGTGGATACTCCACCCCTAACTCCCGCAATCGCAGAGTTGTACGAGAAATTATTGTGTGAGAAAGTGGTAGCATTTTGGTTACCGAAGGAAAGTGGGTTATACTGCGGACAGATAGGCATGTGAACTAAAGGAAAGAGCTCGTGAATTGCCTGAATGAATGACTTAATGATGCTGTTATACTAGTTAAGTTTTAGGTGTGAAATTGGGGCATTTTTTTCTTCAACTAAGCCTTTATTTTGTGGAAGGATGATGCAGATTTACTGTAACTAGCAGAAGTGCTAATGTGAGAGTTTGAGTCAGTCACATTCCACAAGTGAAACAGAAGCAAGTCCTGTGTTCAGGTGAAAGAAGTCATGTATTTGTCAGGCATACTGAAAGTAAACCAGCCATTCATTAATACTCAAATGTGAAAAAAAAAAAAAAGTAGATTAATCGACTGAGTTTTGCTAAGGTAATTCTTAGTTAAATAAAGATGAAGAGGAATGTGTAACTAAATAATTAACATCATGCACTTACTATTACCAATCTATGGATCAAGAACTACAATGAAAAGCTTACTTTACAATGGCTCAGTGACAGAAATTGTACATAAAGAGTTGTAAAATAATAAAAAGAATATAGTACAATACCAGAGCTTAAGCTCACTTCAACATAGACTTTAGCAAGTGTGGTTATGCACTGATTCCAGCCAGCAATGGATAATTATTTTCATTGTAAACTTTAGTTTTATATTGTTTGTTTGCATTTGGCTTGCTATGAGTAACAGAACAGAACCATAAGCAAATGCTTTAACAGAAATACTTTGGTCATTATGAAATATATTCTATTCATATTTTATTGTCTGGTGCTCGACTAAGCTTTAATTGCAATGTTTTTAGTGGACGTCAAATTATAATCATTGAGGTTGTTTTAACTTCAAGCAGAGATTCTGTGAGGTTGTCCAGTTATTATTTTCAATATATTCGTTAAATCTGAAACTTTGCATATCATAAGAGAATAATAATGAAAAATAATATCAAAACTCCACAAGATCATTGTACTCTTAACATTTTTGCTATTTAAAAGCAACTCCTTTAACCAATATTTTTACAAATTTCAATTAATATCTAAGATTTCGTTTTCATCAAGAGATTTTTTAGCCAAATTTCTCTTAAATTATTTTATTGCTTAATAAATTTAAAAAAAATATTTAATCTCTCTTTACTGAATAATTTGTTAAAGTTACATGTTCAATGTCATTGTTAATGTTTTTTTCTCATTCGTAATCTTTATTGTACTTTTAAAACAATAACCAACCGTTTTTCTTTAATTAAATTAAATGCACATACGTTTCTTTACATGTTTAAGGGTATATTTGATGCAAGCCATATACATTGGATCTACAGGCTAGTATAGGCTTACTAACTTAACCTAACGGATGCCAAAGGGGCAAGCTTTCAACTCTAGTGCTGGATTGTTTGTTTTTATTAAGCACAAAGCTACACAATGGGCTATCTGTGCTCTTCCCACCACGGGTATCGAAACCCGGATTCTAGCGGTGTAAGTCCGGAGACATACCGCTGTGTCACTGGGGGGCCTAGTTGTGGAATCTTCAGAAGGCACACTTATCATAGGCCTAACTAGACTGCTATTCGTCAAGAGTAAACATAAAAGATAACTGATGCAATCTAGTTGATTGAAAACTTATATAATAATCTTTGAATATTAAAAAAAATGTTTTATATAGCAAGAAAAACTTTTAGAACGGGTAGAGTTCTCCAAAATTAAGGGTTAAGATCATAGGCGTACTATTGCTCAGTCGGGCTATAAAATTTTTACTTCATGCCTATCTGTGTTTGAGTTTATTAATGCCACAGAAGCGGGAGATGTTTTCCTATTGTCTTAGTACTATCACCAAACAACCGCCGCCTCACCACACACACTATATTCGTGATTTTAGCCCTACAACATAAATATACTGCTACCTACAACTATAGTTAATATGTTATTATTGTTATAGTTCACGAGATTTATGTATGTGAATTGTCTTTTATTATTATTAATGGTTGAGGTAAATACGTGGCTGTTATCTTGGTTCATCCCTTTGGACAAGTGGGGAGGGGGTACCACATGCAGTGTTATGATGGCAATTGGTTCGGGAATTTTTTCTTCATGTTAGAATCCGCGTTCATTATTTTTATGATTTTAAAATTAAGAAGTATATCCTTGTGTTTGTAAAATTAAATGGTCCTCGTGCGTAGATCAGGTATCCCTGCTAGTTGTTTATAAAATACTATTGTTTTGATCTAATTACATACAGTGCAGTCCCAGAATATTATACATTTCTTTAGCCACAGTTTCAGGCAAGTTTTGCATGTATACATACAAAGGGACCATACCAACATGCTGTCTGTAATTTGACTTGCTTTGGTTGTAACAAGGCAACTTTAAAAGTTTGTTTACGTCACTGGTTCAGACTTTTGGTTATGAACAAGTAATTTTGTTTAATACATAAAATTTAAAAACAAGGGGCCTATTGCTCCATCTAGGCCGCCTCAACTAATAGATTAAAAATTATGTTTTCAACATTAACTTTTAAGTATTAACCACATTTTGGGTTAGCTTGAAATTGTTTTGCCCGAGTAAGAATATTGTTGCATCAGCGAGGTCACGTGACTAGTGTCACGCCACGTTTCTAGAAATATCC